ATTTAGTTCTTTACGGGTACGCTAATTGTATAGTTATCTCGTAGATAAGATATTATAGCAACTTCTTTAATAATAGCTGAATACTGTGCTATAAGTAGTATAGTCAAAGATAGTCTTATACTTGCTAAGTTAGCTAATAAGCTAACTCTAGCTCCCCTATTAAGCGAGGATAATTTCAACAATCTATTACCTTTATATTACAATTTAGATAACGCTATTAAAATTGTTACTAATAGCAAATTGAGCACTAAAGTCGCATAGATCAGCACGAGATACTATTTAGTGCGCGACTTGATCAAACGAAATCTTATTGCCTTAATCAACATCTCCAGCAAGGATAACCTAGCCGATATCCTGACGAAATCTAAGCTATTTAGTATTTTCGAAGATAACCGAGACAATTTATTGTATATACGAAGACCTCCAAGCTAATTTTATTAAATTGATTTTCAAAATGCATTTCTCGCTAAATTGCAATTTACAACAAACTCTTTCTTACAAGATTGATCTTTTTCATGACCTTCCTGCTTTATTTCCTACTATTGCTATATACTAGGAAACGTGGTTTCTGAAGCTCTTTCACATCATATTGTTGTTACCAAGATTGCATTTACGATTAGCTTATTACGAGATTGTTTTGGATTTTTCAACCTTGATCACATTAGATTTCTTCGGCCTTGGCCCTGTAGGGGATGTGACAACTCGACCTCGACCTTGCCCGTTTGGTAGTGTATGCGCTCGTCTTCCTTTGCCCTGCAGGTTTGCTGATTGCAGGCCCAGGCCTTTGTTTCTTTCTTCTTGTAGGCCTATATAGGCCTTTCCCTTCTTCTTTTCCTTCTTCGTCCTCTTGCTCTCCTAGATAGACCAATCTGACTTCGTTCTCCTCTGCTTCCTGTGTGCTTGGTGTCTATGACACCATTAATACAATTCTACGATTTTAGCCTCATAGGAACTAACTAGTCTTCACCTCTATCATAATCTTCTAATATAATAGGCGTGATACGCAGCGCAGGAATTGACTAGATTGAATATTGGACAACTTTTCTGCTTCTCGTAAAGAAAGATAGATAGGTTAATCGAGCATTTAGATAAACCCTTTCAAATTAGGTTTCCCAAGTTTTTGTATTTATCTAGGGCACACGGATAGAGATACCTCTAAACAAGACTCCCTACACCGATGCCCTTTTAAAATTAACCTTGTCTACTGAGTAAAAGTGAGTATAATACTAATCTAATCGTCTTTCTCTCGCTAATAGTTCTTCGGATAGAAAGACGTTGACCCATACCAATTACCGCCCGTCTAATGTGCCATAGATAAAGCTTCTTCGTCTCGCTCATTTACAGTGAAGCCTCGCAAATTCTCAATCCTTAGCTATCATAACACAGAGCATAATCAAATATACTTAAACAATTTCTCCCATCGAGACTAGCGAAAGGTCCTGAATTAACCTATACACCCATAATCACTCTTAGACCACATCATACGTTCGTCGTGGTTATTAATAATAATTAGAGAGCCTCTAAAAGCCGTTTAAAGGGCATTTTGATAGTTTCTTTGCTTTCGGAGGGCCTAGACGTCCAATTTTGCACAAGCATAGTAAACAAATAAGATATATTAGCCTTACTGCTCAAAACGAAGGAATAGAGATTCTAGTATCCCCTATTTATCGTATATCCTAGTAGACCCTTATACCCGTTACAGCTCCCAGGAAGTCAAGGTCATCCCAATCTAGTTAGGGCTCCTAGGAGCGTATATTCTTACATCGCCGTAATTATCAATAAGCTGCCTTACACTAGGACAAAGGTAATAAATCAAGATATAAAAAAGCTAGGCCCTTTCGTGATATTTAAGTCTATTTTCATCAATTTCTAGGTACTATAAAACTTGATTCATTCAAACAGGTATCAACTTCCTTATCTCCTTTTAGATTTGTATTACTAAGTACTGACCACCAAAACGACATAGTTCTCTGAAACTTCAGCTTATCATAGCTGATCACCAGCCGTTAGGTTCAGACAACCTTCAAGCTTCGAGTATTAGAGGCGACGATAGTCACGATCCTGGCGTGGTAGATAAACATAACTCGGATACAGACACTACTCTAATAAGCTCACCTAAATTCTAGAACGGAGCGAACGTGGAGAATCTCCCTGTTATACCGAACAGCCTAATACTCAAGGAATCTACTCCTGATTCAACGTATACGAATTATCCCGGCTGCCGGAGCTTCGACTATACCCACATTTTTCAACACCCAGGAACGACGTACGGTCAGCTAGCAAAGGGAAAAATTAAGACGAACGGCTTTGAATCAGGTAAGCTAACTTCGCTGTTAATCGGCGTTTTTTCATAGTAGTTAAACTAACATAGCGACAGTGGGCCCAGATCTTCGCCCGTGCCGAGATCAATCGAAGCACATGACGGTCTTGAGCTATCTATATCGATTTCGCATGGGGTTGAAGGTTGGAAAAGGACGGTCATGCCACCAAATCCTTCGCAGAGAAAAATGATACATTTCATATACACATGTACATAGCTCGACTTGATACATAAACATAATATGTCGCACGTTATAACTTCATAGATAACAGCCGTGCTGAACAGCAAGACCATTGCACAACAATCATGGACAGTTTCGCTTGCGACCAGCCATCTCCACGATCAGACCTTCTCGACAAAATCCTCACATTTCTTCTCGTCGCCCACATATCCACCGTTCTCAATCTCCATCTTTTGGATTTCAGCATTGAAGTGAGCCATGCGCTTGGCAAACTCCTTTTCCTCATCCCACACGAAAAGGCTTTTGCTGGCGAACAGGAAGTCGATCTGCTCGAGCGTGCGGCCGGCAGTCTCGGGGAAGAAACAGTAGATGATGGGGATGTAGGCGAGCATGGCGGCACCGAAGACGTAGAAGGTCTGAGAAAAAAGAAGTCAGAAATGAAAATATGGGAAAGGGAAGGTAGAACTAACCTTCTCGTGGATACCGGCAAACATGACCGGGACGAGCATCGACCCAGCGCCGTAGCCGACCGCCCAACCCGCAACACCAAAGGCGTTACCCTTGGCGCGCAGCCATGTCGGGAAAATCTCGGTCGGATAAATGAAAGGAATCATCAACCATGAGGAGCTGAAGACAACCACGTAGAGGAAAACCATGGCGGCGGCTCCAGTTCCGTACTGTTCAGCCTTGTCGGGGTTGTTGACGGCTCCACGGTTCAGACCACCACTTGAGGAAAGTCAGCAGGAGCAACGTCAGGACGAAATGGGATTGTACTCACAGGGTAAAGAGAATAATACTCAAAACAACCGCTCCCCAGTAGAGGGTCCGGCGACGACCCACTCGGTCCAAGGTCAAAGCAGCGATACCAGTTCCCAGAATACCGCAGGTCATGCACAAAGCAGACAGCCAGTTGGACTTGAAATCATCAAAGCCAGCAGTGCGATAGATGTTTCCCGAGTAGATGACAACCGCCGCGATACCCGTGCCGTATTGCATCAGAACCTGGAGCCAGAAGGCCAGCTGGATACGGCGTCCAATGTGAATATCCCCCGATCCAATGCCCAAGAACATTTTGATATAGCTGGAGCTCTGCGACTCCTGTTCCATCTGCACGACGGCGATGATCTCGCGAATTTCTTTCTGCACATTCGGGTGGTCGCGGTCGCCATCTCCGCGGAGCTTGGTGATAATCTCGAATGCCTCCTCGTTGCGTCCGACCTTGACGAGCCATCGAGGCGATTCAGGAATGAGCAGGGTGCCGATGACGAGGAAGACAATTGGGATCCCTTGGCAGGCAAAGCAGAAGCGCCATCGAAAGGCGCCGCCGGCGTATTCGGTGAAGGAAGTAGCGAAGCCAATCCAGGAAGACAAGGCAATGCCTCCAAAGTTGGCGAGGAAAGTCAGGGCGATCATTTGACCTCGATGGGCCGCTGGAGCCAGCTCTGCGGTCCACGAGGGAGCAATAACGATAATGAAAGAGACACCAACACCCGCGACAACACGGGCGCAGAGCATATGAGCGAGATTCACGGCACTAGCCTGCAGGATGGCTCCGACAAGGCACCAGACGCAGGCCATCCAAATACCCTTAATACGTCCGTAGGCGTCGGAGAAACTACCGGCCCAGAAGGCTCCGAAGAGAGCACCGAAATAGTACATGGCAGCGATGCCACCCTGCAGGGAGGGCTTGATGACTTTTCCATGCTCATCGGCGAAGCCCATACGATGCTGCAGTTGTGATATTCGATTAGTTCACGATTCCAACTCTTTGGGGGTGATGGTTCAGGAGGACTGTGGTACATACTCCATATTCTGGGGCGACGTTGACAGCGCCCATGACACCCTGACTCATGCCCTCATAGGAAATGGCTACGGCAGAGACTGCAGTAATCAACCTGAGCAGTCTAGGTCCAGGGACCGTCTTCCAGAAACCTTTCTGGATCATGGTGAACAAACTTGAATGAGGAACAGAAAAAAGTAGCCAAAGACAAATTTGGAATGAATATATAGTATGGAGAAACCAAGACTCTGAGAGTCAACCCCAGATAATTGATAGAGAGAAGAGTGGATCATAGTCGTATCAGGAAGACATGGGGGTATTTATAGATGATGAGTAGTTTCCTTCCAATGTATGTAGGTATGTATGATGGGTGAGAGAGAGAGAGAGAGTGTGTGTGTGTGCGTGTGTGAGAGAGAGAGAGAGGCAAACCCCGTGGGGTGAAGATCACGAGAAATTGGGGCTCTATGGTTTTCTTGGTTCTAGGGCTGTTATTGACGGGGATCACTCCAAACTCAAAAACCTCGGGGGCTCTTTCCTTCTCCGTCTCCGCCTCCGCCACCATAAATCCCGAGTTTTCTTCCTACTTTCCATCTCTCCACACCTCCTCGATCTTGTCTCCTGTCTGTTCTCGTCTCGATATTCCTTCTTCGAGACAGACTTACCTCGCTACTACTGTTCCACTTCTACAGACCTCTTCAGATATCGACACGGATTTCGACATGGGAAAGCTTCGCTCAAAAGATGGATGGTCAGTCATTCCCGCTAATTTCCCTACACTACACGAGCTGCACACTTCGCCTGTCGATAATCGGAAGGAAGGGTGGCTGGTCCATATCTGTATCTCATGCCTTGGAACGGTTGCGGGGAAGGTTGCCAAGCAGAACTAATGACTGTGTGACCGCTGACGGAGAAGTGTCCAGGCTCTGTCCTTGCCGTGATTTTTGCTAAGTTTCATCACAGCCTAACTTGCCGGAAGAGGCATGTCAAATGTATACCATTGAACAGTTCAATATAAGCTGAATGCAACGGCTTACCCGAGATCAGGTGACCAAGTCAAGCCGATCTGTTCGCAGTGCCAGAAAAAGAACCGGCCATGCCTTCGAGAAGATCCATCCAAGAGCATCAGGATCAAGCCTTATCAACTACGAAAGGCTAAGAAAGACCCCAAGGATGCTCCTGGCCATGACCATGATGAAATATCTCACCTTCCGGAACACGGAACTGCAGACGTAGTGATTGCTAATGCAACCAGCCCTGAACAAATAACTAATCCAATCTATGCGGAATTCTGTACCAATGCTTCGGTGACATCACCATACAACACACAAGGATCTACTATCCTTCCGAAACTCACCACCGACTCTGTTCCTGCGCCTCTGATGGCCTCTCCAGTCAACGATACCACTACCTCACCATACTTCAGCGTGATTGGAATCCCGAGCTCCCACCAGCTCCGACGGGACTCTTTAAGTCCATGGTCTCCGGCTTCGCCCACAGGTGCAATACATGCAGGGTCTCCACTGACCTACAGAGAAGCTTACCTTGTGCATCACTTTGCAACGCACCTCGGGTATTGGCTCGACTGCACCGATGCTTCCCGCCAGTTTACCCGGAAAATCCCCATTCTGGTCAAGCAATCGCCGATCCTGCTGCATGCCGTACTTTCCTATTCGGCCCGGCACGTCGGGGATGCCGAAATGGCCGAGCAGGCGCATGAGCGTTGCGTAGAATTATTGATTCCCTCCCTGAGCTCGGAAACGGTGGCCAACGATGATATTCTGCTGTGTGCAATTGTCATCCTGCGGGTGTTTGAACAGTTGAATGGTAAGTGAGAAAGTTTTTGAGCCGATGCCCAGGCTAACTTCCTTGGGACTGAAACAGTCATGGTAACCGGGAGCGATCAGGAGCGTCATTTAGCCGGCTGCTTGGCTCTGCTCCGGGCGTCGCAAGGACGGGAGGTGGATCCATCGGCCCCGAGGTTGCGGCAGGCGGCTTTCTGGGTGTACATGCGTCAGTGCCTCTACAATGCCTGTGTACATCAGCAGGCTCCTAATGTGGATTTGAACTTGGTTCTCATCCCTCCCCCGGCGGAGGTGACCCTCTGAGCGATCTGAGGTCTGAAACAGCCTGGGCCAACACTATGACTTGGATCTGTGCTACGGTGGTACACTTTTGCTTTGGATCAAGTTACCCTGAGCCCTCAACCAGAATACGCCGATGGCAAGAGCTCTCTGAGGCCGTCGAGAATTGGTTGATCACCCGACCAGATACATTTGACCCAATCTGGTATAGCGAAGCTGTCCAGGGGAGTGGAAACCCATTCCCAGAGATATGGTTCACGGCGGACTGGCATAGTATGTCTGTCAAAAGTCTTCTACTTTGCGCTGTCTAATGTTGTTTGTAGTTATGGCATTCGGATTTTATCATCTTGCCCGTATGCTCTTGGCCATCTACAAGCCATCGCCTAAATTTGCAGTCAGGGGGCTACATAGTACAGCTCGTGAGTCTGATGTGAGTTCTGGTTTTGCTGTCATGCGGATGAGTTCTCGTTGACACCAGCAGATCCGAGTCATGATGCACGCTCGTGCAATCTGTGGGGCATGCAACAGTTCCCCTTCGACGGTGCCATCGTTGATCACGCTCTGTCATTCCACCTTTATTTGTAAGACATGTCTATGGTCTGTGTGGGATATAGTTACTGACATTGACAGGGGGTCCCTTGATGAGAGATTCAGCAGAAAGGGCTGGAGTAATTAGACTGCTGCGAGATATGGAAGCGACGCATGCATGGCCGACGACTTGGATAATCAATTCTCTAAAAGAAGAATGGACGATGACGTAACCCGTTCACAATGCCCACATCAAAAGTAAAGGGCATTTATCTATGCGACAAAGGAAATCGACCCTCATTAAACGATACCACGGCATACTTTCCGTTCTTGATCCACGCACCACCGGGCGCCTCCTCGTTTAATGCGTCAACCTTGCTCTGGGTCGGGACGCCAACGCAAACGTCGGACTTGTTCGTACGAAGGGACAAAATTCTGACGCCGCTCTGCTTGCCTAGGGGACCAAGAGCCTCCTCATATGTGGTGGTGTGAGGCCACATCCCATCCCTGGTCAGCTTGCGGTAGTTAAGGTCGCCCTTGAAGATGACCAGGTAGCTGTTCTGGAGCTCCTTGAAGAGGGCGGGTGCTTTGGATGGCATCTCGTGGAATGAGAACGGCGTTGTCCAGAAGGGGTCGCTAGTGGTCATGATGGCGCCCGACTGGAAGAACTTGCGGAGTCTCGGGATGAGTTGGTCGAGATACTCGCGACCTGGGAAGCATTCGGAGGAATCGAGATGCTCGAACAGCGATTCGACATCCGGGGAAATGACATCGCTGACGAACCACGGGAACTCCTTGGTATGCAGTCTGACAGAGGTGGAAATGCCGGCGTCCAAAAGATAAGCGGCATAGAGCACATCAACGAAGAACTCGAAGCCAGCGTTGTCGAGGATAATGTCAATCTGGCGACTAGCCTGACCGGCAGTGCGCTGAAGATAGGTCCAGACGTGGTCAGTGTCGTTGTCGACGATGTTCCGCTGGCTCTTCTGGATGGCCTCACGGCCCTGCAGGTTTTGCAAGTCCTCCAGGGTCAGGTTAGCGAGGAGTGACAGGTCTGTGGCGTTTCCCCACAGGGCAATCTCTGTCATCTCGATAAAAAGCAACTTCTTGGCCTCTTCCTTGCTCTCATTTTGGGCGAGTCGGGTATCGGCAACGATCTGCATATAACGGCTGGCGAGCTCCTCGACTGCGGCTCTCGACTTGACAAAGGTAGAGTCTTTCTGGCGTTTGAAAACATCGTAGTTCTGCCAGTGTTTTGAGGAGTTCAGGATCCTCTGGATGCTTCTGGAGGGATTTTCAGCGCAATTCCTCGATCCGATCTTTGCAGCAACAGTCATACCTGTACATGTAGCACTCTCCAAAGAGCCAAGGGCAGTTGGTCCAACTGCACTGGCCAATTGCAGCCAGCTGCTTGTTCCACTCTTGAATATCGAGCTTGCCGTCATCTTGTAGGGGTCTGAAGCGCTGTGAGTCCCTGCGCTTTCGGTTCTTGGAGAAGAAGTACGTACGTGAGGGGCTTGTTCTGTTCAATTCCTTTCTTGATGTCCTTCAGGGCAATCTGAATGGCAATGCTCTCCACTCTCTTCTGGCCGTCAAAATCCTCCGCGGCGGCTGTTTCGCCAATGTCGTCGATGGTGCCCTGAATAATTTTGGCCCATCGGTTCTCGGCCGTCTGTTTAGCCATTGACCCCTTCTCTGACGTCCAAACTGCACGAACTTCTTGAGCGTTCATGGTGGCGGAAGGCATGACTATGTGACTCTGATAGATCCGACTGGACAAGCTTAAGGTCTCAAAAGCTATAAGGAAGCAGTGACAGCAGAGTCAGGGGACTCTTTATGTATTCTTATTCAAAGACAAAATTGCAAGGATCGTCCCCACCTGGTCACCAGAAAAAGTAGCAGAGCTCGAGATCCGCTGACCACCATCTATGAAACCCCCTCGACGCGAATATGGGAGGCTGATCTCGGCTGCCTCTCCCGATCTAGGGAGGTGTGGCGTCGCATAAACGGCCCGAAACTGACGGCTTAAATGGCTCTCCAAGTTTTCGCAATCCCTGGGATTGGACGGTCTGTGCACCTCGTCTCGAAGATACCTGATTAGGCAATTCTCGCTGGCATGTCGGCCTTGGAATCGTGATGGAGCTAGCAAGTGCATCCCCAATCCTCACTTCTCAACGTTTTCTCGTGCGCATAACCGCACGCCTTTGGATTATGACGGGGGTAGTGGAGTATTCTTGATTGTCCAGCAGGAATGGGGGCTAGATTTCAAAAGGTATATGAAGCGGTTCTTCGCTCCTCTGGATTACTGTTGGAATCCAAATCATTGAGTTTCAATCTGGTATTTACACATTACAAAAATGGTCACTTCAGTTGAATTTTCTGAGCCCAATGACTCTGCTCACGTCAACGGCCCTCACCGTTGTGTCGCAGATGGTACCCTCGACATCACAGTCATTGGAATGAACAGCGGTACGGCCATGGACGGCATTGACTGCGCCCTTGTTCGTTATCGACAGAGTTCTCCCGAAGCTCCTTTGCACATGGAGATCCTCAAGGTACGACAGCTCTCTACTGGTCTATTATGATTTAACTTCAGTGGAACTGACAAATCGCCCTTGTACAGTACGACGAGATTCCCATCCCTCGGTACATCAAGGAGCCCGTCCTCACCATGCTCCGTGAAACGAAAACCACTCCCTCCCTCATGTCCCAGCTGAACGTCCAGCTCGGCAACATGTTCGGCGAGACCGTGAAGCTCTTCTGTGAGAAGCACAACGTCCCCATTCACAGCATCGACCTCATCGGCTCCCACGGTCAGACTATCTGGCTTCTCTCCATGCCCGAGGAAGGCGAGACCCGTTCCGCCTTCTGCCTTGGCGAGGGAACTGTCATAAGCGGCTTGACCGGCATCACTACAGTCACCGACTTCCGCATGGCTGAACAGGCGGTCGGCCGCCAGGGTGCACCTCTTGTCGCTTTGATCGATGGTCTCCTCCTTCACCACCCCACCGAATGGCGCATCTGCCAGAATATCGGCGGTATCGCTAACCTCTGCGTCATTCCACCCGACAGCGAGGGTGGCGTCGACTCCATGGTCGACTGGGACTGCGGGCCGGGCAACATGTTCATCGACGCCACGATGCGCTACTTCACCAACGGCGAGATGGAGTACGACCGCGATGGTGAGTGGGGTGCTCAGGGTACTGTCAACCAGGCAGTCGTCGACAAGTTCCTCGACAACAATAAGTACTGCAACCACCTGCCTCCCAAGACGACAGGTCGTGAGACCTTCGGTGACAACGAGGCCCAGGCGATCATCGACGAGTGCTTGGCTCTGGGCATGAGTAAGTACGACACCGTCGCCACCATCACCCGCATTACCGCCCAGAACATCGTCAAGCAGTACCGCACGTTCTTCCCCAACTTCAACATCGATATCGACAAGATAGCCGGTGTCTACATGTGCGGTGGTGGTGCCCGCAACCCCAACATCATCAACTACCTCAAGGGGCAGCTGCCCAACTTGGAGATTCTCAAGCTCGATGAGACGGGTGTTCCTTCTGATGCCAAGGAGGCTGTCTCGTTCGCTCAGCAGGCTCTTGAGGCTATTCTCGGCCGTGCCGCTCTTGTTCCCATTAACAGTGACACATTGACGCCCAACACCATCTCAGGTAAGATTGCGCCGGGATTGCGATGGAGAGAGGTTATGGCGATGGCAGTGGAATTCGGAAAGGGTCAAGCTCGGTTGCCGACGGTCAAGGAGATGGTTATTGACCGGCCCTACACCTACGGGAAGCCTTAGAAGGGTATGGCGGTGCACCTGTCTATTCGTATGATTAATTACTTGCATATAAGGGTTTAGCTAGTTCTTCGTTCCAATCTAGCATTTTTAGCGACTTTGGAGTGTCTTTTTGGTTGAATCCCCTCATGGCGCTGTTAAGTGAAGATGCAGTGTACCACCGTTTAGTGGGCGATGGACTGTGTTATATCTCAGGACTGTGCAGAACAAGAGGGACCTGCGCTGTTCATGAATTAGCCTCAATTGATGCAGGCATTATCCTTATCCAAGCTTATCTTTAATTTTTATTGTAGCTTATCAGGGCTCATCGTGAGCGTCCCCCGAGCAGACCATTTCGCGCGTCATCGTGCCGCACACGCATAAAGGCGGCAACATCTCACACTGTGTCCTTTGGAACCAAACTCGGAAATAAGAAAATGAAAACAAAATCATGTTAGCGGGGGAGTGTCGGTGATGACCGTCGCGGAGTTGACACCTCTGAGCAAACTACATGTATATGGTTTCGGTCGTCGGATTGAGATGGAGAGACATTTTCGAGCTCAACGCCGGATTCAAGCCCACTTTGTGCCATTTTTGAACACATTCCAGTTCAATGAATGGTATACTATACGAAAAACAAGGGTTATATTTATGAAAAAGATGAAATACGCATAGAGCAGTCCCTCATAGTCCTCGCCAGGACCCGCGGGTCTACCCAAACGGGTAATGGGTTGGGATTCCCTACCCGCGTCTGGATAGCGGGTAGCTGAGTAAGACCCGTAGGTAACTATTTTTGGGTACCCGCGGGTATATCAACAATGCAAACAGGTAGAACGTCGTAACCTGCATAATTTGTGTGGTCTCAGAGCTGTAATTTCGAGTAAAACCGGGTGGTGCCACTATCAGGAACCCTCTCTAAGGGCGAACTTAGTAAGCAAATCAGGACGCTCCGATCAGGCTCAGTGAGTGTAACTAGTTGGTTACATAATGATCGCTGGGTCGCTCAGGGCGTGCTCACTTCTACGGAGTACTCAGTGAGCAAAAGCGGCGAGAGGGTGAGCACTAGAACGGAAGGGGAGCGCTAAGCGTTGCTGGACAAAATCCGGTATATATGCATCGCGACGAGCAGCTGGCGCAGAATGCTCTGGAGCAAGACGATACTCGACCGAGACGAAAATAACCTCAATACTCAATACCATCAAAATTTTCTATGGCTGCATGTAGAAATATAAAGCAGTTGCGCAAAATTTGCCCTCTAGGGTATACATAATACAAAGCAGGAAGATTCTTTTTAGTACACCAACGCGAGCACTCTTTCCAAAGGCTCAACCAGCAGCGGATCAAAGGCATAACGCACCACTATACTGTCTGGGTTCGGAACACGAGGGTTAGTTGCTTAAGACATAACGGATGTTGTTAACGGTACCTAAGTGGGGAGTAACTGCAAAGCTGAAAATGTATAATTTAGCGTAGGGTAACGTAGATATACAAGACCTTATCACGGGGGAAGATCGGGGGAAGATGTCTATTTATCCTGATTTGTAGCGGCTGCTACTATACTAAGCGGCTAAGTATATAATAAATTTCAGTACTATTATATATAACGTATGTTTGTAACTACTAATAAGTACTAATACCACGAATGATTATATTAAGGTATCGCTTTAGATAGGTCATCGAAGCTATACAAAGGTAAAGCCGTAACTTTCTGGAATTAACAGAGATAGGGCTAGGTTATTTGCTAACGGTTTCTGTGTTGAGAAGAAGGATCTTCATGGGCTCCTCTTGCCGGTAAATAACATATTGGGCATATGAAGTATTGCCTGTGTGCAACTCAATGATTTGATCACCATTGGCGACGGTCAGGGCCGGCAAACATCCTGCCCTGAGATGCTGCGGTGACCGATAGGTACCAACTACGCATCCATCGCCCCACGTTCGCCCATCATGGCATCAATCTCCTATCGACAAAACCCGAACCCCATTTTTGCACCGGTGACGCTTATGACGGGTTCGCCAGCGTTTTCAAGGGCTAGTTCCAGTCTCGCTGTCAATATGAAGCGTAGTTATGAGGTGCTTTGCAGATTGATTCGTGCTTTGAGTTGACTTTAGGCTAATCGTCAAGCAGAACGCGCTGAACCTGTTAGAGACGCGCAGGCGGAAGGCCCGACCGACGGCTCCTGCACCATCAACGGGCCAAGATTCTCCAATTCCGATTGCCTCAGCAGTCAAGGGGATTCCGAGTCTGGTAGGAATGAGAGAATGGCTGCAGGTACTAGGTCACTCGGTATATTCGCTCGGCCCCCTAGATCATTTTCCGCCAAGACTAAGGCTTACTCCATCCAGGAAAATGACGTTGACAGACTTAATATTATCCATGTAACCGGTACGAAAGGAAAGGGCAGCACTTGTGCTTTCACCAGGTCTTTCCTCCATGCTCATGGCGTACGAACCGGCTTTCCAAAGCGAATTGGGTTATACACATCACCTGATTTGCAATGCATCCGAGAAAGAATCCAAATTGACAACCAACCAATCACGGAGGATCTCTTCACTCGGTACTTTTTCGAGGTGTGGGAGACCCTTGCTGCTCCCAATCAAGCACAGTCTACAAGACAACCCCGCTACTTACAGCTTCTGCTGCTACTGGCCTTTCACACATTCATCAAAGAAGGCATCGATGCGGCGATAGTCGAAACGCACCATGGAGGGGAATATTGCGCCACAAACGTGGTGAGGAGGCCTATCGTGACTGGCATTACCTCCCTAGGTTTGGACCATGTCGCCCAGTTAGGCCCTACAGTTGAGGACATTGCCTGGCACAAATCAGGAATTTTCAAACCAGGTGCACCTGCATTCTCCGTCGTACAGGACCCTGGCCCTGCCGAGGTACTGCAGAAACGTGCGGCTGAAAGAAACACCGCTCTTACCTTCGTCTCGCCCTCAGACACACTTCCAGTGAACAACAGGGTGCTTAGTGTTCCAGTACAACGGCTAAATTGCTCGTTGGCCATCCAACTGGCTTCTGCGTTCCTGCAGGCCAAAGATTCTAAACAAGTACTGAGCTCGGATGATATTTCCAAAGGCATCGACAATTTCTCGTGGCTCGGCCGATTTGAGACCATTAAGAGTGGAAACTCGCAATGGTATTTAGATGGCGCGCATAATCCACTTAGTCTGGAGCAAGCCGCAGAGTGGTTCGCAAATAATGTCAACGCCACTGAGAGACCAATGTGAGACTCAATCCTACCCCTGCCGCGTCTCATTGCTAACATGGACAATGCACAGGTACCGCGTCCTGATTTTTAGCCACTTTTCTGAAGAGCGTGATGGTGTAGATCTTTTGACAACCCTGGCACATGCACTGTCCCGGCACAAGGCTTTACCAAATCATGTCATCTTCACAACCTATCATGAGAGAGAGGACGGCTCTACAAGAATTGGTGAGGGAATCTAGGCTGCTGTCATGGTCTGGCGTTAAGCTAACTGTTTTCTTCCTAGATAAAACCCTCAAGGTGCCAGAAACTCCTTTCCCAGACCTCTGCTCGATCTATTCTTCGCTTTGGAAGGAATTTCACCCTGATGCGACCGTGTCAACTGAACCAACAATTGAGCAAGCTATACGACGTGCGGAACAGATCAGTCACCAGGAGGGCGCCATGGAAGCTTTTGTCACGGGAAGCTTGCATCTAGTTGGAGGAGCACTGAGTCTGCTGCGGCCCTAAATATCAATTTAGTCAGCCTGTCAACTTGCTTCTGTATATATAGGAAGGCTCTTTTCAAGATCAAAACTCATCGCCCAGTAATAGTGTTGCGACCGGCCGTGACTATGGCTGATACTTACCTAAACAGATAGAGTCCTAATACGAATTTCCAGCCTATGTAAAGTTGGATTGATGATTCAAAAATGGGGTTGCGATATTTCGAGCACAGACGCTAAAGTGACCTACATACATACAATACACCGAGACTATCGAGAACGAAAATTTCTTTGTGGGTCTTATGCCATATTCGGTTGAGACACACGCAGAATCATAGCTGTTACACTTCAGAAACCGCCCCTGGTAGCCTATGGCCTTGTACCTGACTTCTTTTGTACTACGAGGGCTTGCATGATAGTATTTCCCTCATGGGAGAAGTTCGAAGAGTGCTTGTGGTCCATACTTTGTTTCCGAAGAAAAACCTTGAACAATGATCGCCGCGTTGAAGCCGCTAATGCTTGATTGATTGTCGGTGAGCCAACCATTACGCTTGGAGCCTTGTACCCTAACAGACTTAAAGTACCCACAACCTGGCTTCCGGCCCACATCGCGGAAAAGGGTTAGTGGAGCTACTTGTACGGTAAATGTGGCTTGCACTTAGCGCGTTAACCTGTACTGTAGTTGCTAGTGCCTTTCAGTTGACAATGGAAATGCATCCATCTCTCTATTTGCAGGGATAGGAGTAGACTAGTTATGCAGCGTGTAACTTGCAACTGATAAAGCGAGCTTTGCACCTGCTTCCGACCCTAAACTAAGCGCTCCCAAAAGATGCGTTTTAGGAAAGAGATCTCCATTATAGGCGTGGCGCAGATTGCTCCTTGGCGATTTTTACTTTCAATTGTCTCTCTGTGGCCTCTTTGAAAGATAATTGTCAACTCCATAACGGTTGACTTGTACTCAGAGCATCCTCTATGCAATGTATCCATGCATTTTTGGCTCTACGAGCTCCACCTAACAGGTACATATGGACAGTAATTCAATAGGAATAACTGTAAGTTTTGTAGGTGTTGTGGGCACAGTGGGGAAGTTAGAGGACTGGCATTTAGCGATGCATCAATGCCTCTTGGCCGCATTTGAGATCGTCAGCAAGGCTGTGGAATTTGAGTGTTTTGGTCCCTGGACTTCGGATCTACTCCGTCGAATTCCCCTCTTCCGCCTCCCACGTCGTTGGACACCTCATATTTCCTTTATGTTTGCTGAATAGTATTTTCCCTCCGTTCTCATTTTATCCTTCTTTTGAAAACCTCTTTGTCCTGGCCAGCTCGTTACGCAATATGTCCACCTTTGACTTCGTCATCGTCGGAAGTAAGCAGCATTTGCCTTTAGCTATCCTCCCAATCCCAGCAGATTGCCTACTGCTTCGACAAGCTCGAGCCTTGAACCTATCTCATTCACCTGATCAAAAGACAATCATTTGCTTAATCTAATCTCATCTAACTGACATCGCCCAGGTGGCCCATCTGGTTGCGCTCTTGCTGCTGGCCTAGCCGACTCTGCCGCAAAACCCCGTGTCCTGCTCCTGGAAGCAGGTGACAGTAATGAAGATCGCAACCTCCGCGTTGATGGTCAACGATGGATAACTTTTCAGAACCAGTCCCTGAATTGGGGGTACAAGACAATCCCGCAGATCGACTGTAACAACCGCGAAATTGACTTCAGTCGGGGCAAGTGCATAGGCGGGTCAAGCGCCATTAACTTTGGTGTATATAGCGTCGGTCCACGCGACGACTATCAGGAGTGGGCGAGAATCGTGGGTGATGATTCGTTCGCCTGGGGCAATATCCAGCGAAGGTTCAAAGAGCTTGAGACTTTCCACGAGGAGCTTCCTGATGGCGTGGCAAAGAAGTATGCCGATCCGATTATGGAAAATCATGGAAGCAAAGGGCCGTTGCACGTAGGTTATGCCCGAGAGTGGGAAAAGGATTTGACAGAGCTTTTGGATGTCTTTGAGGAGGCTGGGTTTCCGTTGAATCCTGACCATAATTCGGGCAACCCAATTGGAATGTCGGTGTTGATCAACTCGGCCCATAAGGGTCTGCGATCAACTGCGGGGGATCTGGTCAAGCAGAAGCTGGATAATTTGACCATTATCACCGGAGCACCCGTTCAGCGTGTCCTCTTGGACGGGCTCAAGGCTGTTGGCGTGGAGTCTAATGGCACAAAGTGTAATGATACTTCGACCTGACCCTATGATGAGTTCTACGTTGCCTAACAAAGTTGAATAGACCATGCCACGAAAGAAGTCATTCTTAGCGCCGGTGCGTTGAATGACCCTCGTATTCTCATGCACTCGGGCATCGGCCCCGCAGCTCAGCTCGAAGAGCACAATATCCCTGTCGTCCTTGACGTCCCCGCCGTTGGTCAGGGACTCCGTGACCACTACTTCGTGCCGATGGTCAACACACGCTCAGGAACGAGCACGGGACGGAAGGCTTTTTACGGTGACAAGACTGCCATGGATGCCGCACTAAAGCAATGGCAAGAAGATGGAACAGGACCCTGGGCCAAGTTTGCCTGCGAGTTGGGTATTGGCTGGTTTAAGCTGACCGAGCAGCTCGTTTCATCACCGGAATTCAAGGCCCTTCCCAGGGAGGAACAGGAATATCTTCTCCAGGAAACAGTGCCGCACTACGAGATCATCACTCACTTCCCTGTACACTGGTTTATCCCGGATTTCCCCTCCGAGGCCTTGAACTACTCCTGTCTAGTTGTCTTTCTCTTCAATGCGCAAACTCGTGGAGAAGTCACCCTACAATCGTCCGACCCTGACGCTCCCCTATCCTTTAACCCCAGGATGCTGTCTCATCCATTCGACCGCCGTCTTGCAATTGAGGCTCTACGGGACTCTTTCCGTATTGCCAAGCACGAGTCCTACACCAAGGATAACGTAGCCGAGATGGCAATGCCCAAGGGCGAATCAGACGAGGAACTGCTGGAGTACTGGCGGCAGAACATCTCTGCTAGCTGGCACATGACGGGGACAGTGAAAATGGGCAAAAAGGGGGATGTTGACGCGGTGGTGGATCGGGATTTCAAGGTCACGGGCATTGAGAATCTGCGTGTAGCAGACATGGGTGTCGTGCCGGTCCTGGTGAATGCGCATACCCAGGCTGTTGCGTATGTCACCGGAGCAACTTGCGCGGAGAAGTTGATTCATGAGTATAGCCTTGCTTAAGTGCGAGCTTTTAGAATCAGATCTACGGTCACAGTTCAGAACACAATATTTCCAAGTATAGGCATTGTATACCAAGGAAAGCCAGATGTCTAAGGAAACCAGTTCTTAGAGCAGCATAGGCAATCACACCAGAGGCCATGGGGAACGAAAGCCTAGATATTTCACGGAAGTGTAAAGTGGCACTTACTTTCCACTGCAAAATACGGGGTAACTTCCGTGACATACAATCCCCTTTCTCGGCCAGAGCTTGATGTTTAAGGGTTTGCGTCGTGCCAGGTGGTGGACTCGTGTTTTCTTAGTGCAGTCAGTCCTATCCCTGTGTTAGGACTGGCTCCCCTAACGTTATATGCGCAGCTTATATATTGGTTCCGGTCATGTCAGAATGTCCCGTTCTGACTGACATATTAGGTCTTTTGGCTTGTTCGATTAGCGGGTCCGGGTGGATGTCGTAACACCCTGCTTGCTCTTTTTCTTAGCCGAAGGTGACCTACGATATCTCGTTGAAACGCCGAAGAACCTGGATATAATTTTCTGAACGAATTCGAAAGCTTGACCCTCTGATCACTTGTTTCAGGGGCAATTAAATTCCGTGTGCAGCGACTGAATCCATTTGTATGCACATTTGCCGCGGTTAAATAGCCTCTCTACGCCGGTCACGTACAACATGAAAACAACTCACACTGTCGTTCGCTAATTGCGCAACAAGGCCATACTCCCAGTCAAGATATCCTTGCATGTCCTTGCGAGCGTTGGTTGTGCCCTCATATGGCCTTTTATACACGTCAATGGGCTGAGAAAGCCACCGTGAGTCAGTCTCCAAGGGTTCGCCGGTGGCCGCCCAGGCTGCTGTTCCGCCCACCAAATACAAAATTTGTCGCGAAGTGGAAGCCTGCACATGCTCAAGGTTCATGGCAGCAATCTCGCCATCAGGAGAGGTCAGCACGATTGGGCCGTCGCCGCCGACAGTCCTCAAATCCCGGGCGAGTTCGGGTCCGGAAGCAAACCATGCACCAGGAATATGTCCTTTGCAATAAGACGGACTGCGGGCAAGATCGACAATCGTCGCTTCTTTGAGAATTCGGAGATTCTCGACTGAAATCGCACCAGTTCTTGGATAACGCCATGATAGACCTTTAGGCACCGGGAGACTATCAGGTATAACGGATGACTCCCGGAGGACATACACCTCCCATCCGAGCTGCACGAGCCAGCTTGCTGTCATGCGTGCTCGTACGCCATCATTGTCATATAAAACAATGCGAGCTCCTCGAACACCGACCCATTCGTCAGTTGCTTGAACCAATTGACCGCCTGGAGCATTTGTGAACCCCGCAGGATGATCAAGCGTATACTCTTCAGGGTCCCTAACATCCAGCAGATAAAGAGTCCGATATTCCGACTCCTTAATGAATCGACCAAGCTGTGCACTTTCAATCAGAGGCACGCCAACATAGTCGGCCCAGGACACAGCATATTCTCGTGCCCTCTGCAATGCGCCTAGTGAAGGCTGTGGAACCCGCTCCATCCTTTGAGTATCGAGCTCCAGGCCTTCCAATGTCCACCCGATGGTTCCATTTCGAAGCGCGACCACTTTATTGGGAATTTGGGAGTTGATCAAAGACTGCGTCCCAACAATACTCCGCGTCCGGCCAGCGCAGTTCACCACGATGGTTGTCTCTGGAGACGGGACTGCGTCAAGGACGCGATAAAGCAGCTCCCCTCCAGGACAGCTGCGGCCACGGGGAATACTCATCGTGTTATACTCTTCGAAGCGTCGAGCATCCAAGATCGCCACATCACTCTCACTCTCCAGAATTTTCTTGACTTCGCGTGCCGACAATGATGGCGTGTGATTGATAGATTCAACCAGCTCACCGAATGCTTTGGACGGCACGTTGACGTCTCGGTAGACCTCGCCAACAAGAGCATATGCAGAAAGCCCGCCTTCCAGCATCGCAACATCTCGATACCCCAAGGCTAATACCTGGGCTGCAGCCCGATCGACGTAACCTTCGCCATTATCGTAGACGACGATCGGGGCAGATAGCCTAGGGACCAAGGAAGGAAGTTTCTTCTCAATTTCTGATACCGGCACGCTCAGCGCAAACAGAGGATGGGCTTCTGCATATGGACCTTCTTCCCGAACGTCGAGGAGGGCAATTTCATCGCGATTGACCCAGTGCCGGCGCAATTCCCGTGCGGAGATGGTCTTGATCATTTCGTTGACTGACTTGTGAATCAAAGCAAATGCGAATAGTATAATATTTTCCGGTTCCGGCTCATATCTTCAATAAAGAGCAGCGAGAGGAGTCGGATGGTTTTGAAGTTGCGCGGACGATTTCGGTCGAAGTGGGGAAAATGAAAATGACCCACAAAGCACGACAATCCCACAGTTTCGGGGGGTTGTGACTCGAATGTTGCTGGTTGATATATCCGAAACGTACCAGCATTCATGAATTTGACTCTAAATATTCTTTGCCATTTTTCATGCCTTGAGGAAACTCATTTTTTCAGCCCAGAAAATCAGATCTCCTTCCAGTGTTCTACAGGACATTCCGACCAAAATTCAATATTCGCCTTATCAGTCTCAGGATGACCAAAACAACAAAGCCCTTGACAAAGCCTGAACCATTCAGGAAGACGAATCAGAATGTTACTTAAAAACGACATTTCGAAGAACACTAGTGATTCAAGCAAAGCAGATTGGACCATGACTTGTACACTGCGGCATCCTTGTCACGTGATGATTTACTGTCGAGATCATTATCATCTATTTTTGAATGAAATTTACGATTAGACGGAGTCGTTGCGATCATAGGTATAGACCAATGTGTTCCATTCAATCATCTTTTGAACAACTTATGTCTTGCGACCCGTTATGCCTAAGAGGCTGTTCCCGCCGGCTGTACGACCCCGCTCGCCCAGTTGACGCCATCTCGGCCAGAGATGATTAACTCTGGAGTCTCCCATCAGCGCTTCCTTCGTTTGAGAAAAATTCAGATGATACACTCATCATAGCATGGATACCACTCGACAAGAACGGAAATCTTGTGAGGCATGTCGTAAGTAGGGATTTGTCATCCTAAAATCCAATGAGTTCGCTAGTCACTAAGAAAGAAATAGGAGCACGAAAACTCAGATGCTCAGGGGAAAAATCCGGTTGCTCTCGTTGCCGGGGATTGTTGTTGTCTTGTAAATTCAAAGACAAAGGCACCCCTGGGAGACCAAGAAAGCGAATTCGACAAGAGAATCCAGTCCGCAATTTCACGGGCAGAGAGGATCGAACGTCATTCTCAAGCTTATCCAATCTCTCTCCTTCCATCCCTCAATTTGACCTAGTTTCGCCTGATACCACCAGTACGCTTATGGAAGCTGCAGAGATGGACTCATTATCATGTACACTTCCCGGAATCTGTGGGCTAAATTCCCTTCAGTGGGAAATGCTTGATCATGGCGACATACCTTTGCCGATTGAATCATGGCAGACGTTCCGACAAGACGAATTACAGAACCCCGGAATGCCTCTTACGGGTGTGGATGCATACGTGTCACCTGTTTCGCTCCCCCAGTCTTGTAAATGTGATGAAGAGGTGTCCGCGATTGTTCGGACCCTAAGCCGCGCTGACATGTCGCACGATGTCATTCAAACACTTCGCGCCGGAGTGTATCTTGCACAAAGACTACTAACCTGTTCCACCTGCTACGACACGTCAAAGCCTCCCAGAGTGACGGTCCAGAATGTGCTACTCATCGGTCATCTTATGTTCGAAGTAACCGCCGGTTACCAGAAGTACGTTCGCTGGCTGGACAAACACTGTGCTGAGCTGGATGTTAAGAATGAGAGCGAAACCATCTATCTTGACTCTGGGTTAGGTATCCCCTCCAGTCTGAACCTGCAAATCAGTGGTGAAAAATTCCACGATGTCGTTCTTCACGGCCTCCAAACCGATACTGAACACCTTCAGGTTCTGGGGAAAAGCTTTGAGCAGCGGCAACGTGATCGTCATATGGCCGGTCATGAAACTTGCCCCAACCCTGAAGGGCAATGTCGCAGGAAAGATTGTGGTGATGGTCATGACCCGCTTGATGTCTGTCCTCACGATCCTATCGGGCGGAAGTTAGTGCCCTGTTTCCGCATCGTTGATGAGGTGCAAGGGATGATCAAGCAAGTTGCAGATGCCGTTCGGTGATACACTTTTACTGTACAGATTTGGGTGCTCCTGGAGAGTATGAGAACCTGACCTTGCCAAGGCCATGGAATAGCATGAACGATCCCAACTGGTAAATTTGAGGTGTTCATAACTTTTCGGACTACGAAATTTATAGCAGAATTTCCGGTTCATTGCCCTGTTCAAGATTCTAGTTCTGACACTGTGACTTCACATTGAGACAACCATTTGTTTTTGGCTTTTGGCATGAAGCATTATTTCCAAGCCTGCAAAAGCACGAGGATGTAATTTCAACATCTGCTTCCGCTAGAGCAAGAGAAAGCTGTTGTTTAATAATGATTGCCTCTGTATGACGACCCAGAACTTCAAGGCACTCGTGGTAGCCATGAAGAGCCCAAACATTTTTCGGATGGTGATGGGCGCGCTTTGGTGTCTGAGATAGTCCCAAATCTTCTGCATAAGCTTGTGCAGCCTGCTCAACCCTACCCTGTTCCAGGGACAGGGCCGCATAGGCATGTCTTGCTGGAAGCATCCACCCCCATGGCTCCGCAAAAGGCAGCTCATCCTCCAAAGTGATTGCGTCCCTCAATCTGCTAAACGCGACCTCGTAATTCCCCCTTCGGTATTCGATCTCGCCATCCAGCATAGCTGACGCAACCTTGAGAATGTCGACTATCTTGTTGGGGAAGTCAAGGCGTGTAGGAGGAACAAGCTTGGAGGCCGCTTTGAAGAGTTCTCGCTCTGCGTCAGCTTGCTCAAGATTGGAGGTGGCGGCATGTGCGATAGCTTTTCCATAGTGCCTCATGACGTTGGTTACACAATAGAGCTCCTTATCCTCTAGTGGCTCAAGCTCTTTCAGTTCTTGCCACATACCGAAGCGGATGAGTACATGAACTCTGACGGCCTTGAAGAATTCCATCCAGCTCGCAAGGGCAGGCGTTTCCACACGGAGGATTTCTTCTGTGACAGTCGCTTCCATTCGATCGGTCGCTGAAATCGCCGCCTTCGACATCCCACCCAGCATCGCGGCGTAGATGAGGGAGTGGTAGTCGTGTAGACGATAGTAGCTGTAGAAGGTAAAACCGCCATTTTGTTGGAAAAATTTGTCATCTGCAATAGTCGCTTTCAAATTATACTCCACGGCGCGTCGGTAGTCACCCACGAGAACGTCGATATGAGCAGGCATATGGAAGGTGTGGCCTGTATCGGGAAATATTTCGCGAATCATCTCAGCCGCAGGAAGAGCAGCCTCGGGGGTCGCCGACATCTCCATCAAATGAATATACATGTGGGCGGGACCTGGATGCTTCTCGACCCTGGGCATCTTCAAAGCCCTTTCTAGCAAGTCTTTGACTTCGAATACTGGGGAAGATGCGATTGGAAGCCCCGTGGAAGCATCATATAGTTTTCGAGGGGCGCAGTTCATCAACGCGTCAGCGAACAGAGTAATAATATCAAAGTCTTCGAGGCCGATCTGCAGATAGATTTCTCTCATAGAGTCTGCGTATGCCTTGCTGCATGCGAGAATATCTCTGTTTGGGTCGTCGTTGGGATACCTTTTCGCAAGAGCCTTGATAATCTTCTGCTCCCATTCCAACGCACCCTCAGCCCGTCTAAGGGCTTCTTGAGAAAAAACATAACATTGTTTGATTGCATTAATCCGGTCCCTCTCGTCGAATAGTGCCCATGTCTTGTTGTAGTTCGAGCCGGAGCAGAAGGATATTCCCCAATAGGCCATTGCGCAGTTCTCATCATGTGCAATCGCTTGCTGGTAACAGATTATTGCTTCATCGTGATTGAAGCAATACGTCCAGACAAGTGCCCGGTCGAACCATATTTGGGCTTCATGCGAACTCGTGGTAATTTTGCGACCGAACGTCCCGAGATCAAAATACGGTTCGCTCGAATCTCTCGCGGGAGCTGGGTGCTGTTCAGAGGAGGTCGTCATCTTCGATGTAGGAGACGAGTGCCGACCATGCTGTGACGCAAGTTTTGCTCGTGCTAATAGGACGACATAGCTGAACCTCAGGGTCACATGAACATCTCCACAATTTGTGAGGGGTCTCCTATGGAACCGGAGGGTTTCTTTGGTGTGGGTCAAATGGCGCGATTTTGATTCGTCCCTCGGACCTTTTGGGGGAAATTGAAGATAGATTGGCCAAGGGCAAACCATGGGGTAAGTAGGTATGTACAAGCAATAGCCATCGTGATTCTACCAGTTTGACAATGGTAGAGAAATTACACCATTGGATGACACTCATAAGAGTTCTTTTCCATTATTGAATTTAGTCGTGTTAGTGATTGGGTCCATATTCTAGAGCCTATGTACCGGATTTCCTATGCCACCTCTTGGCTTTCCCTTTCCGGATTGGTGCTCACCCCCTCGCCGCTTTTGCTCACTGAGTAGAACTGAGCACGCCTCTGAGCACCCTGAGCCGATCCCAGAGCATTATGTAAGCTCAGTGGACACCCCTGATCTACCTACCGAGGGCTCTGATTTGCTCACTGAGTATAGCCCTGAGTAGGGTACCCTAATAAAACGCAATATGCTAGCCCTATCCAAGTGAAACCCTTGTACCTAGATTGCCCTATATATAAAAAAAAATGGGCATCAATAAACTAGCGTTGATTTTGGTAGATTTACTGGTACCTATTACGCCTCGATAGAGCTTAGTCGTTAATTACCTAATCAGTCAATTAATAAACCTATATACTCCTAGGAACCTTTGCCTACTAGTTCCACGGTCTCCTAGATAGGTATAGAAGAAGTACAAATCTTAGAGTAATTACGTGAATCTACCGGGAGATTATAAGTCTTACCCTAGGCAAAACTCTACTAGGAGAAGAATATTCTAGATATAAAGGCGAAGTATAACTTCTCTCTATATAGAGCCCGCGTACCGGAACGCGTTTTAAATAACCGCTATCTACCCTTAGCCGAGAAACCCCCGAAAGGGACTACTCCTAGGAACCTACTAGACAATTAATTAGACTACTATAGCCGACGAACGTACTAGGTAGTCCTAGGAGCTCATCAAGCTCTATACTATTCTATAACGCCTATAAGCTGTCTTCACAAATCCTCTTAGAATCATTATTTAGATTCACTTAGATTCCTAGGAACTCAAAACGCAGCTAGTACTCCTGATAACGTACTAGAGGCATCCTGTTAATATATAATATAATATACCCTATATAATAAAATACCTACTAGATACCTATATATTCCCTTGCAGGTCCTAGGAAGTTATAGCTATTTAAATTATTCAGAGTGTCCCAGGAGTATAAATTCTATATCGCCGTAGTTATTAGTAAGCTATATTCTAGGGATAAAGGGAATTATTCAAGATATAGAATATCCTGTCTTGTGAGTTTAGGTCTATATTTATTACCCTCTTCAAAACTTGTCTTTATCTACTTTTATCTCCGTATTACTCGGTATTAACCACGCTAAACTACTAGTAGTTCTCTAAAACTTTAGAACTCGCTATTATAGCTAATTACGAGCTATTAGGTTTATATAATCCCGAATTAGTTATTAGCGATAATGAACTTTACGATCTTGGCCTATCGGATAAACAAAGTTCGAATAGAGACACTATTTAGATAAGTTTACCTAAATTCTAGAGTAGTGTAAACGCGGAGAATCTCTATATTATACCGAATAGCCTAATACTTAGGGAATCTACTCCTATTTTAATATTTACGAATTACCCTAGTTACTAGCGTTTCGACTATACCCGCTTTAATTAATACCTAGCAACGACGTGCCTTTAGCCGGAAAAGGGAGAGATTGAAAAAAACAGCATCGAACTAAGTACGTCAAATCTACTAACTAGTATATTTCAATAGTAATCAAACTAAAGTCGTAGGTTTTATAGGATCTAATAGAAGTTATTAATCTTATAGTAACAGTTCAAATTTTGCGGAATATCCACTCCTGTCCTACGAAACGTTCTAGAGTCTCGAAGGGTTATATCAAGAGCAATATTTTAATAGGGTATCTAGAGATTCTTCTACTTAGAAAGCTTTCGAGAACTTATATCTACGTATTAATATAATAGTTTTCTAGCACTATAAGATCAACAATCGCCTAACTCTTACTAAGCAGGAGGTAGTATATTTACTACAAGAATATATCAAACAAAATTAGAGCTTATTAAAAATAACTATCCCTAAGCTAGATTAGCGATACGTATCCCGAAACATAAGCGAATAAATTCGCTAGTACGATGATGATCTTCGATAGAACTCCGTGAATTCGCGTTTTGAATTCGAGTATCCTTAAAGCTCTCTATCGACTCCTTAGTTGTTAGACGATTTTCGGAGGTTAATTCGTCTACGCGGATTATACAATTTATATATCTTCTCCTCTCCTCTTGTACCGCCTTAACATTCTTGCTAGAGAGCTTAAAGAACTTATAAGTGATTATTACTATATAAAGGGTTCTTAGGATATAACTTTTCATTACCTAGACGGTGATAGTATCCTACACCTATAGGGGGGAGGAGCGCCTATTATATAGGTGATTAAGACACTTAGGATTTCTAATATAGTTAAATGCGTTTAACTACTTCGAGTATATAGGTCTCTCGGGAGTAATTCTACTTCTACTATAACTACAAAAGATATCTCGTAGCGTCGACTTTAGCTTAGTAACGATCAGTATCGACTTTTCCTGCTAGGGATATCAACAAGGGTCTTTAACCCCTAGGCGTAAAATATAAGAATACTAGTACAGGTAAGGTAGCAATATATAGTACGATCTAAAAGGGCTACCGGCGGCCTTAATCTTCCTAGAAAGACATACTTTAAGCCGGAATAATAAAGTATAGTCGGTTTAAATAGAATAACTTATAGTATATCTAACTTCGAACAAGAGATTAATACGTAGAATATTAATAAACAAATATAAACTCTACTTAGTCTAGAAATAGACCTAATTCTTCCGTAATAATTATACCTCTACTACCCTAGCAAATATTAACAATAATACTTCTAGTATTTAATATACCTAACAAGTTCTACAGGCTTCTGTCCCTGAGAGCTAAAATCAGTCGCAGGCAGCTCGGTTATAAAATATATTAGTATAGGTAGCTTAGCAAGCTGCTAATCAGGAGCTATACTAACTTCTGTTATGATTTTAGGTTTGCTCGTACTATCAGCCCCTGTTATATTCTCCGCCTCGTCCGAACCCCGCGGCGGACTATCGCGTCTTTTGCGTCGGAAGTAAAAGAATCCTAGAGCTACGACGAGACTAAGAATTACGCTAAGAGTAATACCTACTCCGATTCCTGCTTTCGCTCCTATTATCAACCCTAAGTATGTTTTCGCTAGTACTTTAGGCAAACTAGCAGAGGTTAACTTCGTGTTCGTAGTAGTAGCTATAGGCGTTATCGTGGAAGTCGTAGTAATAGGAGTTAAGACGAAGTCCGTTAACTACCACCGAATAGAAACAGCCTTTATATAAAGTACTCCCTCGATATTTCCTTCTTGATCGACTATATAGCCTTAGCAGAGTACCCCTATTTAGCTAGGATCCGTGTTTAGTTATCTATTAATTGTCATTAAATTAGCTCCGAGTTTCGCTTGTAAGTATAACCGAAGCAGATATATAATACGCGTTACTTACGTAGGATAATATAATACGCGAGTTTCTGTAATAGTATTAATAATAACTAAGGAATTAAATATAATAATATAGCCGCTAGGATATAGGCCCGGCGAAAAAAAGAACTTGAACTCTAACCGGATAGAACACACTAAGAAGTACTAGTCGTAGGCCCTTCTATATAATAGATACTAGTAGTACTTATATCGCTGCCCCTAGAAGCACTATATTCGGAGAATATTTCGATAGTGTGATCTTGGTAGAGCATGTTTTGTTATATTCGTAAGGAAATGGGTCTAAATGAGTGTAATCCGGTAGATACCGGCAGAATTCGAGGTGCCTAAGCCGTACGGATGATGTAATTAGGCCACACGTGGCCGTTAGGATCACATCCTTCCCTACCAGACGGAAGCTCGCCCACGAGCTTTTCGCTCACCCTGAAGGGCCCGATAGCTTGCGAATGTAGCCACCCGTCAGGCACACGTCGTAGAGGAGCCGTACGCACGTATCCATAAGCGGAAACATAAAGAAAGAATAAGAAAAGAGTACGGCTAATTGCTTGTAGTAGGGTTCGAACCTATGACCTATAGGGCTGAAAGCCTGAGGTAGAATTTTCTGAATAGCTTCAACAAAGCCCAAAACGGTAGTTTCCTTAGAGCCTAGCCACAGCGGGTATAAAATCCCCTCTTCTACCTACTACTTCTCACTTTCCCTCTTTGCTATCTCTAACCTCTCCCTGTCGGCCTGTTCCATTAGCCTATAGCGTATTTTCATCCCCTTCTAGGCGCAATAGCTCCCTGCTATGCCCTAGAACCTCTAATTCTATCCTTCTGCCTATAAGTGAGTTTCCCTATACGTTGTTTTCGATAAAATCGGTCGAGATTTAATGAAGTTAGTATACTAACGCTGACTGTAGCAGACCCCGATAACGAGCTTTTCGTCCCCCTTTCGCCTACTATAGACCAGAACGCTTAACACCTGGCCTAAACCTCTCTTAGTGGCCCTGCCGTGACCGTAAAGGTCAACCTAGACCCTTATAGCAACCCCCTAATAGACCGTTTTACAACCGAACGGGACTATCGACTAGTATCTTTGCCTCCTATCACGGACGTGGACTAGCGTAGTAATAAGGCTAAGGATTACAAGGGTACAGGCTAGCTTCGGGCTACTTAGGTCTAGCGGGTCAGTTCTGTTGCTCCTGATAGCTACGCGTGCGTATCCTACGGTAAGGGCTTCGGTCTATTTGTAACCTATCGCGTCCTCGTCTTAGACGGAGAGCTATGGTTTTCGGGCGCTTATGCTAACTACTCCTTTAACGTAGGCGGTAAAGGCTATT